AATGCTAATGAGTGGTGGCTTTAGGGAAATCAGCCTCTCTATTCTCAATATTGAATTCCAAATTACTGTGTTTTAATGCATCTGTCTCCTGCCTTTTTTATTTCAGTACCTACTAGAAATGAAAAGCTTAATCCTCCCCCCAGAACATATCCTGAAGCGAGGGGACAGTGAAGCAATAGCATATGCGTTCTTTCATCTGGCACACTGGAAGAGGGTGGAAGGGGCTTTGAATCTTTTGCATTGTACGTGGGAAGGCAGTAAGTAATTTTCTTTCTTTGAAACTTTTTTTTAAGAGCATGAAAAGATGCTAAAACTGTTTTTATACTGAGTGTTCATGATGAATAATGATGATTTGCATATCTATAGCTCTACTTCCCTGCAATATTCCATCACCGAGAGATGATGGTTAATTACTGAGATTCTTCAGTTCCCCAATGGTGGTGATTGTTACTGTGACGATGCCATCTCTGTACCTCAAAAAAGGAAGTTTATACAATGGACGGTATGAATCTGGACTGTTCTGGCAGAGGAGAACTGGAAAACCCTCTTTGGAGACCTGAGCACCCCCTCAGCTTCATGGGAATCTTTGGCGGGGGGTTTGGCATGGGGTTTGGCCAACCACTTCTGGGTGGCCTTTCTGGGAGGATTGCCTAATGAGCCACAGTTATCCTCCACTGGAACTAGGTTGGCCAAACAAATGAGCTGCAGTTTTCCTTGAGAATAAGAGCAGTGACCACAGGACCCTAGTGTTTGGTGGCAGGTGTAGCATTCGTGTATTAATGGATAATGCCTGTTGGATGGCTGTAGGGATAATCAGTCTGAGCATGTGCCAGGTACTGTCATTCTGTGTAAGGAGAAAAGACTTCAGTTTCAGGTGAGACGTGCTCCCTGTCCTGGAGAAACATCTCGTCTAGTTGGGAGGAGTAGCCAGCATGACGCAGCTGCCCAGTGATTTTTCAGAAGGGAAAGGTCAGTGAGGTGCTGCAGTCACGGGTAACCTTATGGATCATAGGAGATTTGAACCAAGCCTTGAAGAACTAGGACAGTGTCATAAGCAAGGACACTGTGCTAAGTGGTGGGACTGCTTAGAAGAATGTAAATTGAGGGGAAAGGCCCAAGACTACAGATTATTGGACAATATGTGGATTGACACACTGTAATTAGTTAAGCAAAACAAGTACAACATGTAGTGTGGGGTGTTTTTTTCCCCTTCTCATAGAGAAACAAAACAACTATTAGTCTTCTGATAATTTTTTCTTAGTTCACCTCTACTCTGATCAACCTCACAAAGGAATGTCTTTTTAATCCCTTTCACTGTGTTTATCTTTGCTGCTTCCATTTTCATTTTGATAATCTTCTGCTCTTCCCTTTTCCTGCCCTTCCCAAACCCAGCAGGAATCCAAATGGAGGCAGGAAGTTGGGTGGGGGGGCAGCCAAATGGAATGGGGTAAAAGTAAGTTGAGAGAGATGGGACTCAAGTTGATTAAAAGCTTTTTGTTCAGTTTTGAAACTATTTCTTTAGAGAATTTCTAATGAGTTTACTTAAATAATTTACTATTTATAATTTGAGGGGTGTTAACTTGGTTGATGCTTCCACCCCCACACCATTATGTGTAATAAGCTACTCCCGGTGCCCGGTCCTGTGTTAAGACAACACATTGTACTCAGGGCATGTGTGGGCGTGTGTAAAGTCCCCCACTGACTTGGTTTGTTGTTGCATTTAAGGCGTTCTACCCAAAAAAGACAAAAGGATTTTTATTTAAACACAAGAAAAAGATTGAAGAAGCCCAGCAGGATTGAACATGAGAGGCCTCACCTAGGTTTAGTTGTAGGGAAAAAATTACATGGATAGATTGGCTCACCAAATAAAGACATATTTATAGATTAGCATTTTAGAAACCTAACAAAAGAAGCTTTTGTCATCACAGCTGGATCTGATTGATAAGAAAGTTACAGTTATATGGAAAGGAACAAAATGGGGAGGCAAGAAGTGATAGAGACACGGTGTTGGGAATGGCATAACCATTAAAAAAAAAATTCCATGAGGAATAATAACTAGAAATTTTGTTTGGGAATTAGTTACCCATATAATTAGATACCAGTGGTGGGGGTGGGGGGATGCCCTGGACCAACTGGGAAGGACCATGGGATTTGGACAAATGTGAAGTGACATAGTGAGCTCATTCATCTAGCAGCGTGGTGATGTTGGGGGAATATAATTAATTACCTCAGATTAGATGGGCAGAACACTCTTTAGAATGAAGAGAGGGGGTGAATTTTTAGACATAGGCCAGTATAGCAAGGCAGTCAGGGACCTCAAGGAAAGGGAATTTCTGTATTTGATCCTTATAGATAAATAGGAACCACCCCAAATTTTGAAAAGAAAGCTGTACCTCAATTCTAGACAGGAACTGTGAGAGTGCTCGTTAAGCACCAAGCACCATGGAGAATGCATGTATAAGGGGGTAATATACGGAGGGTTTGCGTGTCTGTCATTCCATGTACTCTTCCTGACAACGTTCTGAGTTAGACAGGAGAGAGGTGGCCGCCTCTGTTGTTTAGGAGAGGAAGAGTTATTGAGACGAGCACCTGGTTGCAAATTTTGCCACCACTGTTGGTAGAGCCAGGATGTAAACTCTAGTTCACTTTCTCTTGCCTCTTCTTTTCTATAATACCAGCTATTTAGACCTTTCCTGAATAGATTAAGCATAAGAAGATCAGTCATCTCTAAAACATTTGTTTGGAAGCCTTCAATTTATACTACTACTTATAGGCTCAGTGTACTTATTCCTCTTACAGTGTTTAGAAAGATAATCTTTCTAAAATTATATTTTTGATGGTGAATGTTGACTTAAACATTTTAAATACAGAATGGGCCGTTTTATAAAAAAAAATAAGTAAATTCTACATATAAACAAAGGAAAGACTGGAAAGAAATAAATCTTTAAGTAGATTTTAAGAGGTTTTTTTTCCTTCATGTTTGTAGTTTTCAAATTTTCTCAACAAGCATACGTAGTTTTCTACAAGCACAAATATGTATGTGTATATGTGTGTGTGTGTGTGTGTGTGTGTGTGTGTATGGTGTTTCAGTACAAAGTTTTGGTCCTTTTTAAAACAAAGCTATAAATCTCTCATGCAATTTAGAAGAATTACCACTCAAATTTCAAACAGTCACGTGCAATCTTTTGACATCACTTCTAGACCTGTGTGCATTCTAAGTTGAATGGAGGCATTAGAGTTTGGATTTTAAATCAGAAGACTTGGATTACAATTCTGACTTGGCTATTGAAGTGGTATTGACTTAACTTACCTGGCTTTTGAACACTGTGAATCGCTGATGATACTGAATGCCAGTGCCCCACCCCAGATTGTCCGGCTTCAAGGCGGTTTCGTTGAGATAGCTACAGTGGGTGAAGGGTGCCTTCTCCCTTCAGAGGTGCCCTGGACAGCCTGTGCCTAAGCGCAACAGGCTGCACTTCCTCCAGTGTACCACGTGGTGGCGCCTTTTGACATTGCCAGCCTCCTAGTTTAGGTTTTGTCCTTTACTATCTTTTTTTGTTCTTTCTGAAATTTAAGGCCATTCCCCAACTCCCTTCCAAGTTCCCCTTTTCATTAGAAAGGAAATTCAGGGAGGAAGGTAACAGTACCTAATTTCACCAGTTCCTATGTTAAAAATTAATTAATTTTTAGTTAATTGGTCTTTTGGAGATCAAAAAACATTCTGTCAAAAGTGTTGGTTTAGGAGTGGGGATACAGATATATTTTTCCTTGCTTTTTAATGAGTTTATTATGTTGGAGCATTAGTCATCTTGTGGAATTAAGTCAGTTTCCCGCCAATCAGGCTGAAATAATTCACATTTTTGATAAAACCCCAAAGTCCAGCTGATGCATGGCAGAGATTGTTTGGGTTTGAAACATATGGTGGTTTAAAAAAAAAAAAAAAAAAACTGAGTCCTCAACCACAAATACATCAGCATTTCAAAGGTTTCTAAAATGTTTGATTCATCACTGTCCCAGCCTCTGAAATTGCACAATATGTTCCTCAAAGTCTAGATAATCAAGAAAGGGGAAAAGTTTTAACTTACAAGATTTAAAAATACATTCCTTAGTTCGTTATACAGCTGCCACCTTATCTGAATTACATTTATTTTAAACACTGTAGGTTCTGGTTATCCTCACACACACACACACAAACACGCACATTACTGCAAGTAGGAGTTGAATATACAAAACCTATATAAATGAGCAATCTCATTTGTATTGGGTCTATTTACAACAGCGTTGCGCCTTGTGGGACTCTATTTTAAATGGCACATCTTCTGTTTTACCTATATTAAATACTGATGTGGCCTCCTCTCCCTCCTACCTCGATCTTTTCAAGGCTCGTTTTGGCTGTATTTATTTTATAAAGCAGGGTAGTCTGCTGACCGCAGCTGTGAACTTCAAGGTTTAATTTTCTAGTTCTATATATCAGAAGACAAGTATGCCATGGGGTAAATCACTTAGCCTTTCTTTGTTTCCATTTTTTTCCACCTGACTAAGTAAGACTCTTTATTTTCTTTTTGGAGATTTTTTCCCCAAAGAATTCACTAAATAATGTATAAGATTTGAAGGTGGTGTTTTTTGGGGGGGGGACTAAGAGAGTATTTCCTTTGAGAGGAGAAAACGGCCCATTGTTGGAGCATAGGATGAAATTCCGATTCTAATTTATTCTCTTTGAAACTGATGGTAAATGTTCCTTGCTGTAAGATGTAGTCCTTCGGGCATTTCCACTAACCAGACCTTTCCTCCAAAGGGCTGGCACCTTTTGCACTGCTAAAGAGAGATTCCCCCACCCCTCACCCCATAGTTCCAATGCTAAATTTTATAATTTGGGAGAGGGCAATGGTCTGCTAAATTTCCCGGTCAAAGCTAACTTACACTAAAAGCCAGTCTCCAGGTCTCGTGCAGCGCCTCCCCACCTACTGCCTGGTGGATGGAGCCAGCTTGTCCCTTCCCTTCATTCTGCCATGGTGACTCACCATAATTTGGATCCACTTGAGTTTTTAAAAGGGAAACTCTCTGTCTCTTCCTGATTGTGCATTAATTCACATATTCCTTTATTCAGTGAGCACATATTGAGTCCCTCCTTAGTACCAAGCATTATGTTGGAGATACAGGATGAATAGGACTCTGAAATGCTTTGAGAGAAATGTTAATGTGTGTGTGTGTGTGTGTGTACACGCACACGTCTGTTCATGTGTGCTCACCTATGCGTATTTTAACACACGCATCTATGTAATATGTAGTGTGCATCCAAGCAATACTGTCATGGAAGTAGGAACAGAGTGTTAGAGGGTCGAGGCTTGTCAACAAGTTAGTGAATCTGCTGTAAAACTCTAGAATTTCTCTTCAGAATTGGAATGGTACATCAATGAGCCAAAGGGAAGTGATTTTTCCCAAGACCGCAGAACAAATAGTGAAAGAGTGCGGATCAGTACCTTGGGCTTTTGATTTGAGAATTTTGTATTATTGTGTGCAAATGCCTCGTGAAGATCAAATAGCCTTTATGGCCAGTTACCTAGAGTCAAGGGTGAAATTGTAAAATTTGTATTTTAATGATAATTTTCTGTTCTGTCATTTGCACCTCTAGTTATTTATAAATAACCAGTGTTTTTACTTATAAGCAAAATATGACCTGATCAAGAGAGCCAGAATTACGGGTTTAGTAGAAAGGGAATATAGAGAGAAAACTTTTACTGAGCCATCAGTCCCCATGTTTAGACACCTTTGCCACACGTGGTCCCTTTAAGTTTCTCAGGGTCTATAGTATTCTCATTTTTAAGACAAAGAGACTGGACAAAAACTAATGACCCATCCAGTCATCTAGTTTTCAGCTGGTCAAGTTCAGGTCGTTGTTAGCTATCGCCTCCACGGCTCCTCCGTTAGATACACACAGCACAGAGGTGCTACCTCAGGGAGATCATTCACACAGATTTTCAGGATTCTTGGACCATCTGTTTCCTGCCATAGGCTGTGAGCTTCCATCAATGCAGGGACGTGTCGCCCACTCTTCTGTCCCTGGTGCCTGAGGAAAGCACTCGCAGTTTGACGCCGTGCCACTGGGATTCAAATGCACTTCTTGCTGTTGCAAGTAATCTGTCTATACACAGTTCCCCGGGATCCTCTCTGAAAAGGCAACATAGACAAAATATCAGATATTATCTTCTATCCTTGCTATTAGTGGGTAGGCTGAGAGGTCATTAGAAATCGCTGGGAAAATCGGGAATTGGTTTATTCCTGTGTCTGTCCTTTTGTCCCTGTTTTCATTCTCTTGACTTTTTCTCCAGTGTTAGTTTAGGATCTCTAGGGAGCCCAGCACTGACAGGTGTGGAGCCTAGAAAATGTGTCTGGTCAGGGAGAGAGGATGCCAGTGTAATGCCTCAGGCTTTACTGTGGGGCCCCATGTGGTCATTAATCGACTCCTGGTTTCATTTTGCCCCTTCCTCACCAGTGCAACAGAAGTCAAGGTAAGGGAGATGATGGCACCCAGACAAAAAGGCAGAAACACTACTAGTGTCCCATGCATTCACATGGAGCAGCCCAGCTTTTTTGTTTTGTTTTTAACCAAATACATTGTATATTTTTAATTCCTCTGAAATGTATGTTTTTCCAGACAAAGATTTTTAGGAGATCTGTAGTCATTCATGAAATAGATAAAATTCATAAAATAGATGCCCTTTTTTCCATTCTCATTTGCACTGTCAAATCAGTGTGTTCCTACTTGCACTTGCAAAATTTCTGGACATTTAGCTAAAGCTGTGAGGTTCTTGTGGAGCAGTTACATGTCTTTTCAGTGACAGGGATCAGGAGGTGGGAGGTGAAGCTGGCAAGATTTCTGCAGTGCCTCTTCCTGCTCTCTCCAGCCCTCCACTGCTTATCTCCCACTCCCTGGTCCTGCACAGCAGGGTGGCTAAAGGATAGAATTGCAAACAGAAATTGTATTTGCTTTTGTTTAGTGAAGCCAAAAAGCTTAATCTTATTTTATGAACTCAATGTAAATGACAACTGACATGAGAAAGAGATTTTTTAAGAGGATCGTAAGCATCTCTACAGTCGTGGAGGTTGCCTTGGGGGGCTGGGGAGGACGGTGCAGAAAGACCTGTGTGTGTGTGTGTGTGTGTGTGTGTGTGTATGGGTGTGTAAGTTGTATATAATCACTGTCTCCACCCTCTCCAAAAAGACCAGAACTGATTAGAAGAGAAAGACTAACTTGGTGCATGGAATTCTGTATGCGTGCCAAATACTGCTGCAAAAAAGATTTGGCATCTGAGTGAAAAGACACCAACCAAGCATTTGATTTCTATGGTTGAACACTCTCAAGATCTTGCTCTCCTATATTTCATTTAAAAAATTGCTCCCCGAAGTGCAAACTGACTTCAATTTTGAATAAAATGTAGCATTCAAATTTATAGCCACTTTGAAAACGGAGGGTTTATTTAGATCATGTGAACCTGAACAGATTCTTAATTACAGCAGCCCTGTTGCACATAGAGAATCTGGGTTACCAAAAAAAAAAAAAAAAGGAACACACACACACACACACACACACACACACATACACACACACAACAAAACTTCCACGTAGGTTTTTCCACATTTTTGGGATGCTTTCATAGCAGCCTTCGTTTATGGGAAATGGTATTAAAATCCTGCCATATTGCAGTTTAAATTTAAACACACTGCTTCCGGGGCGCCTGGGTGGCTCAGTGGGTTAAAGCCTCTGCCTTCGGCTCAGGTCATGATCCCGACGTCCTGGGATGGAGCCCCGAGTCGAGTCGGGCTCTCTGCTCAGCAGGGAGCCTGCTTCTCCCCTCTCTCTCTCTGCCTGCCTCTCTGCCTACTTGTGATCTCTGTCTGTCAAATAAATAAATAAATAAAATATTTAAAAAAATAAATAAATAAACACACTGCTTCCCAGAAGAGATTTTAGTGTATCCTATAAAGGCACTAAAAGGGGTTTTGTGTGTGTGTGTGGGGGGGGGGTTGTTATGTAATTTCTTCCCCCTTGTCTTGCAAACCTCTCCAGAGATACTGGTTCCTTCAGTGATCTTTGTGCATTAACAACCTGTGCTGAGAACACCCCTTGCTCTTGTTGTAGCAGTGGGCAAAAGTCATCTTTGTTTGCATGAAAGAAAAGTCTGATTGAACTAGGGTGAGCCTTTCATTTTAAGAAGAGTTAAAGTCTGGGGTGTTTTTAATGTTTTAATCTCTGTTTAAGAGGTTTCTGTTACAAGAGGAAAATTGATAACATTTTTACCTCAGCAAACTGCCAGCAAACTGGCTCTGCTCTAATCCCGCGTTTATAGTGATTTATATTCTCCATGGCAATGTGCTGTAACCTCAGAGTGATACCACTATGGTGTGGATTGACTGCATTCCAAATGCTGGAATCACATACATAATGTTTTTACTTTTAAATAATATTCAGACACCAGAATAAATACCATATGTGCACTGATGCTGGTTACAATGGAACCTTGTCATTTCTTGTGAGGGAGAACATTCTTTGTTTCTGATTCCTGTTTGAAATAAGTATGCAGAAGATAAATGTGTACATTGACGGCATTTTGAGAAGGTGCGGGTGATTACCCAGCTGAGGATGTAGCTCTGATTCCTTGAAATACAGCATTTAAGACTGAAGAGATTGTTGTGTGCCCCCCCCCATCCTTCTTTGACACACACACCAAGGCAAGGATTGTTACCTGACTTTGCCAGTGTAGGGTGCGGTTTTTCTATTTTCTATCTACAGCATGCTGTAGTTACAGGACATCTGTCGAAGGAAAATTACTCTAAACACTGCGTTCAGAGCAACAGTGAGACTAACACGCTCCTCACATCGTAACGGGGAGTAACACGTGTGATAACGCAGAGGGATGGATTGATTGGAAAACCGTAATTCAGCGTGACACCTAACATTGTTTGAAGCCACAAAAGCGGAATTTAGTTGGTCTGACATCATCGACACACAGATAATCAATTTCTCTGGATTCATTTCTTCCCCTACGTGATATTGAAGATTGAAAAGTTTCACATAAAGTATAGAAATACCTCCCGAGTCATGCATTTTTAGATTTTGTTTTGTTTTGTTTTTGTCCATCTTGGTTGGAATTCTCATCCACCTAGACACATATTTTTAAATAGACATGGTAGAATGCCTTTCATATTTGTACATCTGTAACAGGCTTCAGCAAGTCAGTCCACATTTGCTTCTTGGGGAAGCATTTCAGTCCAGGTTTGTGTTGTTAGCATCAGTTGAGCTATATTGAGTTAGTGCTCGTGACATTGTAATAATACTTCATGGATGAGGAAATCCTGGGCATTGAACCGATGGCTTCCCTATTCCTCTGCACCCCCTCCCCACCCAATTTTGTGAGGTTTGCCCAGAATATATAGTGTGAGATTAATGCATGAGTCATACATCATAATGTGTCTCCTACAGTTTATCTGGCGCATAACTCACAGTTTGGGTAAGTCTTGCATCCTTGCTGGGATTCACTTGTAGAAGTGTTTACCGTTATAAAAATGCTCTAAAGCCCCTTTTTGGAATTGAGACATTATGAGACAAATATTGACCCTCTAACATATTGTCTCTCATTTTCAGCTTTTCGGATGATCCCTTATCCCTTGGAAAAAGGGCATCTATTTTATCCGTACCCAATCTGTACAGAAACAGCAGACCGAGAGCTGCTTCCGTGTAAGTCTCACTTCTGTATCCCTCTCTTCATGTCTGAACCCGGGGATGGGGAGAGGTGGGAATGATAAATTTGTAGCATTCTTTGTCTTTTATGACTCTTCTTCCAAAGCCTGCCCTTATTTGATAGCATGTGTATATTAAAGTGAGTTATGCGAGTGGGTGTGCCATCCTCCTGCTCCAGGTCTCTGCAGAGTCATCAAAGGGAAAGACCCTGGAGCCCTGACATTTATATGCGGAGGCACCGTGAGCTGGTTGGCCCAAGCGCAGTGACCACTAGTTTGGGGTGGATGTTCGTGGACTGCTCCATTGCCCAGGGTTTTGGCTGAGTGGCGCAGCCGGTCCGATGTGGTCTGCACAGACTGGAGTGTGAAGCAGGGGCGCTGCCTTCAGAGGGGGCTGCAGATGAGTCACGGATGGGAGGGCAGCAGCAGGACGCTGACTTCATTGCCAGAGGCAGAGCTGTGGGGCCAGGCGGGTGTGATCTCTGTGGTGATGCAGTGCTCTGGGCCACAGGGATTCCCTGCGAGCATCTCATGGTTGCATGCCGTGAGCCGGTGTGGCACGTGCAGAGCACAGGTGTGGCCTCGGCACTGTATGCAGCAGCAAGAGAGGGGCCCTGCCTTCGAGAACCTTCCGAGCTAGCAGTCTGATGGCCCATGCCGCGTGTGGAAAGCATGATTCGGTTTACTGTAATACAACATTGTTTTGATAAGTCCTGCTGAATAGATTTATCAAACCATACTGTGTGCAGGGATCTTGTCCACGCTCCTCATGTGGCCCCTTACTTAGGACACATTTTTCTCCCTCAGATAATAAGCTCCAAATTTTGGCTGCTCTCTCTTCCTTGCCCCCTCTCCTGCCGCCTCCTCCCTTTGACAGGCCCCCTTAAATCCTCTCTTCTAGCCCCAGGGAATAGGGTAAGTCTGGAGCCCTGGGTGCACAGCGTTACTGAGCCCATCCAAATCTCCTGCGTGGTGGGTCTGGGTGCAGCAGGAATTACCATCTCAGACTGAAGCAGCAGGAGGGGACCCCCTTTTCTCCTCGCTAGCCCGAGTCTATTTCCTATTTGTTACCTAGGGATCTGGGAGAGCTCAGTGATGTCTTGTTCCTTGCCCGAGTTTTATTGTGAAAAAGGGTCTGGTGCCTCACACTACATTAGATTTGATTTCAGAAATTCCTGGTATGGACCCACACTTTACCTTTGACTTCCCCTTCAGGGAGATCCTTGTTAAACTTTCTGTTTCTGGTAAGAAAGACCGTTTCTGAAAAGCACTGTTTTAAGATGTTTTAATTGAGTCCCATTAAGTTTCCATGGGGATAGATTCACTATTAGAACAAGATTACAGCTCTCAAAAGAAACTTTATAGGAATAATCTCTGTAAACCTGAAATTGAAAATTATGACTCTCATTTACTTAATTGAATGCAGTGGTCCAAAATCTGATCTTCCCTCACAATCTTTCGGGGGTTGGGCATTGACAGCCAGGATGGTGTGGATACAAAGAGGGCCCCCTGTTTGGAATGCACTCCACATTTTGTACAGTCAGAGTCCCCTTGTTGGACATTAGGGCCTGAGTGTGAATCTACCCCTCCTTTGAATCCCAGCAGATAGCTGCTGGGATTCAAGAGTGCAAGCTTGTCTCTGCTTGGTCCCTCCCAGCTCTCTCCCCGCCCTGTCTCAGGCCCAGTGGATTTTTGTTTAGGGCTGTAAGTAATGGGAGCTGAACGGTCAAGGAAAGGCCTTTAGAGCTTGGATTTCCTGAAGAAAATGTAGTACTTGGATCCTTTCGGTTCGAGAGGGAGCACTGCTCCCAGGCAGTTTCACAGCTCAGGCGGCTGCCGGGGCCAGTTTCTCTGCACGGGCCAGCCCCAGCTCCCCTGTTAAGCACCTGACTGCCCGGGGGGCTCCAGCCGTCCAGTGAGCAGGAAGCAGGGAGTCCTCTCTGTGGGCATTGGTTCCACCTGCTTTTTGGTTTCTCCAAACCCAACACTAGAAACGTTAAAGTTATAAAAGGTGCTCTAAAGGGCACCAGTTATTTACTTTTTGGTGATGGTGGAAGTATATTTATCATCAGGAGTCTCCTACAGTGGTGTCAGGTGGCACCCACGGCCTTGATCTCCAGCCTCTGCAGATTGACTTGGCTAGCGTGTGAGGTCCTTGCTGAATGTCTGTCAGGGTGGCTCCCTCCGCCAACATACTCAGAGTGGGCCAGGAAAAAATACAAGATAAACTAATGTGGCCACATTATAATGATTAAAAAAATTACAGGAAGGTCAAAATCTAGAAAAATTTTTCCCCTCAGTATATTTAATTCTGGATTTATCGGGTTTTGTCCGATGAACATGTATTTTATAATGGGAATAAGGTTTTTGTTTTATTTGTGTTTTCTTTTGAGAAAGCAGGACTATGTATTAGGCAGAGATGGTATTCCTTTTCCCCCACAAATGCGTGATGTCCTCAGATAGGCCCTGTCATGCCTCCCACATGGAGCACTAAAGCTCCACCAGGGACTCGGGAGGAGCCGCGAGGCACTCCAGAGGCTGGCCCAGAGGGTGGCGCTGGTTCTTTCAGGTGCCTCGGCCTTGGCGTTTCTGAGAGGCTTTAGCCCCAGCTCCGAAGAGTCCATCCCACAGACAGAAATGCCCTGAGAAGGCGTTTCACTCGGGCACTCATACTTCCCCCTGGATCCTCTCCACAGCTTTCCATGAAGTCTCAGTTTACCCGAAGAAGGAGCTTCCCTTCTTCATTCTCTTCACTGCCGGACTGTGTTCCTTCACAGCCATGCTGGCCCTCCTGACACATCAGTTCCC